TGTCACCCTCCACATAGGACTCTACCTCACACGACATGGCACCATGTCACGCTTCACGTGTTGCCCCTACCATACACCACATGTCATTATGTCACCAATTTATATTTTCATTTTGAAAGTTGTCTCCTCCAAGGTTTGAACCCATAACCTTCTCCTTTTGTGTCCAACCATCTTACCATTGAACTGGAATGAACTTGTAGTCTATTATTGCATAATTAAATATATATACATATATATACATATTATTAAATTATACAAAAGCACATATAGATTAAATATTAAATATTATAAAATATCATTACTATCCTTAAATACTTCAATTTAATTCTTTTAATTTATAAAATTATAAATTATATTATTTATTTTGTTTAAAATAATAATTGATACAATATCATTTGTATTATTTATTTTAATTTTTTTACTTCTTGAGTTTGTTATATTATTTATTTTAATATTTATATTTATAATATAATATAATAAATATCTAAAAATAAATAGTAAAAATACTGATGATCATACATTAGTTTATAATTATTTATGTTTCTAAATTGATATCGAACTTTAAAGTTACAGGTGTTAAATGTAAAATTTGAATTAAAAAATTATATTAGATGAAATATCATTCTATGAATGAATAAATTTAAGTATCACATGTTTAATTATTATAAACAAGTAGTGTTATTGGTTTTTACATTGATCCAATGACTTATGCTTTCTCTCTCGTCTCTTTTATCTTGAATATTTAAGATTTTTCACTTATTAGTTATAATTTTAAATTTAATTTGTTTTAGTTATTAATTAGTCAAAAAATATATATTAAAAATTTCATGCTTATTTTGACCATTAAACATCTCAATTGGCTTTTGAATAAAATTATCCAAATAAATTTCAGTTTATCTAACTAACTTCTAATAAAAACATATCCAAACATAAATCATATTACATTTACTGACTTTTTTTCTAATTTTAGTTTACTAATCTCGGTTGAGTGTTAACCTCAGTTGTAAATGTTTTAATACAAACACACACGTAAAATAATATGATTTGGCTTAATTTTTATTTTAGCTCATTAGCATTAAATAACACCTTAACCATATCTTAAAGTTATAATTTAACCATAGAATATATTAAATGAAAACTCATTATATTATTTTATATATTCATTATAAAATTACAATAATAAAACAAAATTAATGTCTTAAAATATTAAATATTAGATAAATAAAAATAAAAATTTATGACAAAATCAAACTTTCAGCGGCAACATTCAAAGTTGCCATTAAAAGTCTCATTTTTAGCGGCGACACTAAAAAGCTGCTGCTAATTCTCAACTTTTAGTGGCGACTCATATGTCACTGCTGAAACTTACAGCATAAGTGTTTTTATAAAATATAACATATTTTAAAATATATTAATAATCAGTGGTGACATTAAAAAGTTACCGTTAATTCTCAACATTTAGCGGCGACATATGAGTCGCTACTAAAACTGAGATCTTTGGCAATGACATGCACTTGTTGCTGATGAAAGTCTTAGTTTCAGCGGCGACATTAAAATTTCATCGCTAAAAGTCACTATTTCAGCAGCGACTTTTACTGTCGCCGCAGATTGTTCATTTTTAGCGGCAACTTTTTAGAGTTGCCACTGAAAGTCACTACAAAATAACACATTGAAAAATATTGCATATTTGTACATTAAGCAACACTTAGAACTTTTGCAAAGAAGAATATTTCCTAAAACCAAAAAATAATGTTTTAGTATATATATTTTGTAACAGAGAATAAGAGAGATTAGAGAAACGGCAAGAAATAAGCACATGTATGGCTAACGATACAGCGAAGGAGAAGTTCGTCGATTTTCCTAGTCCTTTCCACTTCTTTACCAAAATTCTAACAGATTTAAAAGAAATTGAAAGTTTTATTTAATATTTATGAAAATATTTATGTTATTCATTTCCGTAAAAAATGAAGAGGATGAAATCTGATAAATATATTATTATTCTTTTAAATAAATTAAAACATAAATTATAATTAAATATTTCTAATTTTTTATCTTTTTGTTGAATATTTGTTTGTTTAAATATTAGTTTATGGTTATGAAGAAATTTATCTTATAATTTTATATATTATTAAAAATATTAAATTAATTATAGATGGTGCAGCTCAATTACATCCTAATTATATTGACCCTTAAAATCAGTGTATGTAGATGGGAAGTGCCATTAACAGATATAGACATTTAGGTTACCATTTGAATGTTCAAGTTTTTCAAAAACATATATGCAACAAAATCAATACGGCATTCCATTTCACAAAGTGAAATTCTCTAACTAATTTTGTAAATTTTGTTTGTTTATAACTCAAGAAATTCATATAATTTATCCAGATAAAATGAGTTTAAATTAAATGATGCTATTTTAAAACGAATATATCAATTTCCACAAAAGCAATAACGAAAAAATTTCAACGTCGAGAAAAGTGGATGGAAATTAAATGACAACAAATAAGATCCAACATCATATGGATACAAGAACAATCAATTTTTCTTGTAACGTAACCAACCAATTAATGTGATGGAGACAATGATTAATCTGAGGTATCCGAATGGGCTTTAATTTCCTATTTTCCAATTTCTTTTTATTCCCCACCTCCTTAAAATTCATATTTAGAGACATAACTCCCTAACATTAACTCACAGTCGGATCCACTTGATTTGATAAAAGAAAGGCTAAAATATGTAAAATTTCCCTAAACTTTGATCAAGTTCATATGACACCCTTGACCCTAGATACACTACCCAAAAAAAGTGACTTTTAGTGGCAACAAAAGCTGAAAAGTTGCTTCCAAGAGTGACAAAAAGTCGTCCCAATATCACTGTGCTTATTGCTGATTCTAAAAATTGAGAATTTTGTCACCACTTAAACTTGAGAATCGATGGTGACAAATGTTGCCATAAAAATCACACATCAATGATGACTATTTGGTCATCGTTGAATATCAAATATCAACGGTGACATTTGTTATTGCGAAAATTGCCAATCAATGGCAACTTTTTTATCGCCACTGAAAAGTAATGTTGATTTTACTTGCTCACATAACGCCACGTCACACCTCCACATGGCGCCCCACCTCACATCACGTGGTACCATGTCACCCTCCACTTGTCACCCCTACCTATGTCATGTGCCATTATGTTACCAATTTATATTTTCATTTTATAAGTTGCCTCTCCCAAGGTTTGAACTCATAACCTCCTTTTGTGTTCCACCTTTTTGCCATTAAAATGGAATAAACTTACAGTCTGCATAATTATATATATATATATATATTATTAAACTACACAAACACACATATATCTTAAATATTAAATATAATAAAATATCATTATTATCATTAAATATTTCATTTTAATTCTTTTAATTCATCAAAATTACAAATTATATCATTTATTTTGTCTGAAGTAAACTATTAAATATTTTGATACAATATCATTTATATTATTTATTTTAATTTCTTTTACTTCTTGAGCTTATTATATTATTTATTTTAATATCATATTTATAATTATAATATAAAAATATCTTAGAATAAATAGTAAAAATATAGATGATTATACATTAGTTCATAATTATTTATTCTTCTATCTAGTTTTATTTAAAATTTTATTTTTACTTTTAATTAACAATAACTCTTAAGTATTGTAATTAGATTATTTTTACATTACATTTTACTTTTTTAATTATTTTTCATTTTTAAATTATAATTTTATAAGAAAATTATTCACTATATGATCTACTTTTTTACATTTATGTCACAATATAGCATCAAACAAAAAAAAATCATATAGCATCACATACATAGATATATTTCATATATTGTAAAAGTTCAAAATAGAATTTTAGAATATCTATTTTTTTTCTCTTCATCTTTGTCTTTACTATCATTAGCCATCAAATTGGGAACATCTAAATTGACATCAAACTTTAAAGTTACTTGCATTAAATGTAGAATTTGAATTGAAAAATTAGATTAGATGAAATATTATTATATGAATAATAATTATTATATAGCATGTGTCTAATTATTATAAATAAGTAGTGTTATTTTTTAAAATATCAATTTAATCATAAAACATTTGAAAATAGAGACTCATTACCACATTATATGCATTCCAAATAAAAATATCAAATATTAAATTTTTTAATGAATTTATCACTTCATATAGGGTAATACATTAGTCAATTCAATTAGATTTGGTATTAATTGACCAAAACTAATTAACCAAATTAGCCTAAACAATTAGACTGAATTAAACCAAACATTGCTTAGTAACGAAAATTGACTTAAAATAATATGGTTTGGCTTAATAATTTACTCTGGCTCATTAGCATTAAATAATACCTTAACCTTATTTTAAAGTAATTTCATTATTTGAAAGTTATAATTTAACCATAAAATATATTTAATGAAAACTCATTATGTTATTTTATATATTCATTATAAAATGACAATAATAAAACAAAATTAATGTCCTAAGAAGTTAAGTATTAGATTAAATAAAAAATTATGATCATAATACAAAATTAAACTTTCAATGGCGATTCTAAAAAGTCACCCCTAAAAGTCTCACTTTCTATAGCAATTCTAAAAAGTTGCCACTGATTGTCAATTTTCAATGGTGACTTATATGTCACCGCTGAAAATTATAACATAATTTTTTAACGAATTATAACATATTTTAAAATATGTTGACAAAGTCATCGCTTAAAGTTTTACTTTCTACGGAACTTTAAAAAGTAACCGCTGATTGTCAACTTTCAGTAACGACTTTAAATGTCGTTATAGAAAATTAAACTTTTAGCGGCAACTTTTATTATTAATGCAAATTGTTCATGTTCAAATTCATTGTTAAAAGTATACACTTCGATTAAATAACCCCATAACCTTTCCTTACTAGAACTGTAAATTATTAATAGAATGATGTGACAGAACTGAAACATTGATAGAAATCACATTGTATAAACTGAAACAGATCTTTATTTAACGCGAACTTCTTTACATGATTGTAATCAAACATGCAAGGTCGCACACATACACAGTACTAGTACAATTATTCCTCACACATGCCATTATGGCTTATTTTGTGACGAAAACTGATCTATGAGTGGTCAATAGGATAGGTAGTTTGAGACAGTGTCATCGCAAACACACTTATAGGCACAGTTTTTTGAGCCACTTCCTTTTATGTGGCCACTATAGTCAGTTTGCTTATCGAAGTACCTGTTAAAGATCATAACTCCTCCAAAGTTGGATGACTTCTTCAGGCTTGGAAGAATATCAGACTTGAGCACTTCCGGCGGAATGTAACCACTGCTCACGGCGTTAGGCGATGCCGGTACCCCCAAAAACACTAACATATTATGGGCTTCAACGGATAAGCTCCATTCCTCCCAAGCCCTAAAAAGATTAAAACTATTGCCATTTGAATACTCACATGGAGAATTGTGGTAGAACTGAACCCATAAGTAATCAACAAGGCCGGTTTTGATAACCTTGTCAAGGAAGTAATCAGGGTAAACACACTGTGGAGCTGCTGATATGAGAACCTTTTTTTCTTGGGACACATCATTGATCGCTTTAACAAGCTCATCCCAGTGAATGTTTCTACCTTCCGCAACGGAAATAATGTCGATTCCGTCCAAGGCGACACTTCCTAGTGGACCGAAATGGCCACTGAGAAAGTTGTCCCGAAGGTATTCTGCGGCCTCGTGCACAACATACTCCAATGAGGGGATGGCGGGGCGGGTGGGTGATGATGGTAGAACGAAGATTCCTCCAATGGAAAGCAAAACTTTGATGCCTTTGCTTTGACAGTGCTTTATTTCTGACTCTAGTTTGGTGCAAGGGTCATGTGCGCCTCCGCAATGGCCGGCAAAGTTAAGATAAGGTGTGCTTCCATCGTCAAAGAGAAAGAGGGATTGGAGGATGACAATGTTGTAGTTATCAGTGTCACATGCTTCTTTCAAGGTTCCTTCAGCAGTATTTTGTCCCCAGTAGACAGAGACGGAAATACTACTGCTAGATGTACATTGATCAGCATTTGAGGAGTGAATGGTGGAAAAGAAAGAAAACAGGGAAAAGAGGAGTATGAAAGTTTGTTTCTTGGAAGCCATGATTGTGTACTGTTGAGGTTTTTTGTTTTAGCTTGATGATTCAAGCATAAGGGATGTGCTCTCAATTTATAGGAACCAAGGAGCGAGCTCATCACATGTTTCATACAAAAACTTCATTAAAAAAAGGGGAAAAAAAATCTTCCAATAGATATGGATGCCAAATAATCCGTGATAGATTTAAAAGGACGATAATTTTAATAGGGAATACATGAACACATTGGAAGAGTTAAGACCCGAAGTCAGGGTAAAAGATAATTTAATTTAACTTAAAATTAATATTTTTTTAAAAAATAATAATTCTATAAGTAAAAATAATAATTAAAATGGAGCCCATTCAATAAGGGGAGAGAAAGAAAAGAGAGAGTTGATGTTCCCAAGCGAGATTTCTCAACGTTTCCCTGTGGGGAGATCTATGGGTATTTGGGATCAGTCCCAAAGCACTCAGGTAAGTTCTCTAGATTAATTTTTTTTTATTCCTAAACCTTCGACATATTAGGAGGTATTTGAGGAAGGAGAAAGTTGGGTATGAGAATTTTGGGAAAAATTCTTATAAATGACCTTGTCTAAGGGTCATGTAAATTAGACAGTTTTTTTTTTTTTTTTACCAGCATAACTTAGACGGTTCATAACATTGAATTTAGGAAGGACAATTTTACTCTATGCGTTAAGGATGAGGATTTTAGATCTCTAGAACTAGCTCTAGAGTGGCATTATAGTAACTTTAGAGACTCTAGAGTGACATTAGCACAGCTTTGGAGACTCTAGAGTAACTTTAAATTAATTGTTTTATCATCTCGTGTGCCATTTTTAGGTTCATAGCAAATGACACTTGATCACTATTACAAAAATTAATATTAGTGACAGATAAATCCACCAACAAATGGCAAAATCCATCCTCTGCTCATGATCAAGGTCCCTCCTTCCATGCTATCCTCTGCCCATGGTTGCATTGGAGTTGTGAGACATGTGACACCTTGATTGTTCCTTTAAGGAGAGGAAATCCAATTATCAGCTATATATTTGGCCGGGTAAATCTTAAGTCTTAGAGAGCTTAGGGCTAGTCCACTCATGGGAATAGAACCTTATCGGACTGTAATATTGGCCTATAGCTCTATTTAGTGTAATGAGTCTGGTAGGCAATACTAGGGAAGAATTTGCATCTTGTTTGCCCATTTATATTATGAGATTGTGAAATTTTGTTTATATATTAATTATAATTTAAATGTTTTTAGTCATTTTACATGAGTGTATCAAAATTTCAATTATTTCTGAGACGTTTCACTTCGTTACTTCACCATCTCAGATGATGGTTCCATTAGGAACGTAATTAAGGGAAGGTGTCGGAGCAGTGAGCCTCTAAAGCCCTATTGTGCTCCTCACGTTTAACACTTCCTTGCTATTTATATTTAGATTTTTTATGGCTCTTGAATGTGTCTTTTAATTTAAGTCTTAACTACATTCGATTCAAATAATGACTTAGGATACTAATTTATGATTTGTAATTTATCTGGACTTATTTAATTTTGATTGCCCACTCATGATATATAGTTTTATTTTCGTTAAGCATGTAGGTTTCTTTTAACTATGGTAGATTTTTGTAATTCTGGTTTAGTCTTTTATTTCTACCATGGTTAACTTCTATTTATTGGATATTGAATTTCAAACTTTTTTATAATGATTGATGTGCTTTGGGGCAACATTGTCTGTACAGTATATATTAAACATGTTTTTCTTGCCCATCAACTTTGGGACCACATTCTCTTTCTTCTGATATTCATATCATCCATGAAATTCACTAACTATACATGTGTACAGGGAAGCGGAGACACGGTGATTTCATACGGGGAAAGATCGGCATACCAATAAAATTCTCATTTCCAAAAATATATGTATTGTTTTTTTTTTTTAACCCTTAGTATCAATTATCAATGCAATCTATGATTAATGAGAGATAAATTTATAAAAATATCTAGGTTAATAAATACAAAAGATAAATTAGAAAAAAAATATTTTATATGTACTAAGTTGCTTAATTTTGAATTAAAATTGGCTGAGGACAAATGCTTATATTTTGGACTGGAGAAAGTATATTATACTCTTTCTGATCCTATTTATAAGTTAATTCTAGTGTGTTTCATAAAAATCGATGAAAATCTTAAACCTCACTAACTTTTTCTTAAAATTTGACAAGTTTTAACTTTAACCCCTAATAAATATTCTTAAATTTCATTACTAATATTTTTATTTAAGGCATTTAATAAGGGCAAAAATTTAAAGAGGAGCACTGAAAATTGACAACTGCTTTATAAATAGAACTAAATTTTTCTCTCTCCTTACCTTATAAATATAATCAGAGGAGTAGCGTACTTATCCGCATGACATGAATGTGACAGTTTTGCAAAATGCAGTGAATAATTGAACATCACAATAATGCAGGCCCCAAATCTTAAAACAATAAACAGATACAACTGTAAAGGGTACATAACCATCTAGCTCACTCAACTCCTTGGCAATAAATAACTTCACGTTTTACAAGAATTCCAAGAATTCGTCACCTGCACAACAAGGAAATAAAGGAGAATCACTATTACAGAAATAGCCTTTGGTGACCTATAAAATTTTAGTTTTATGACATTTATAAAATGTTATAAGATCCAATATTATAATAAATATTAGGTGGTATTTTATTAATTATTAAAATGCCACAAGACTTATGACAGAGCGTGGACATTTACTTCTACAAACATCACCTCTCTCATCTTAATGTTTAAGAAATCTCAAGAGAGGTGGCGTTTTCAATAAGAACAAACACCACATTGTGAAACAATTTTTTAAAAATTAAAAATAATATAGAGGTGGCCTTTCTTTAATTTGTAAACATCATCTCCATCATTTCATAATTTTTTTTAAATTTAAATAACATATGTGGCATTTCTGGTAGAAATGCCACCTATATTACGCCACCTAATATGTTTTTTTAATAAATTTTCATAAATATTGTACACCAAAATTTTTTACCAAAATAATAGATCCAATAATATATAACAAGTCCAGTAATTTGTAAATAATTCAGTTATACAATGAAAAATTACAAAACATATATTTGCAATACAACAATATAGTTTACAACTGTATTAATAAAGCTCCCTAACTAACTAGCTAGGCCAAGACATATTTTAAAAGCCTCAAATCTTACAAAAGCATTCAACAAATACTAAAGTTCTAGTGTCCTGAATTCAAAACAAATGATGACCACTCCTCAATTAGATTATAGATTTGCTTATCATTATATTCTAAGCATTTGTATCCTCAAAGTACTACAAAATATATTAACACAAGAAATCATATACATATATAATTAAAAATTGTTATAACCCGAATAAAATTAAATAAAATTAGATAGTTTTTCATACCTCAAATGGGATAAAAGTTTGACCATGGGTATCCCATCTTCATTATTTCATAATATAGTACCCATAATCATTATTATTTGGTTGGAAAGGGCACTAAAAAATTACCAAAAAGTAATATAAATTTATGAAGCAAATAAATTTATTTTTCGTAATTCAATAAAATCTTTTATGTATAAATTAACTATACCATAATCTCTTTGTCCATTGATAACTCTTTGAGAAATTTTTATTTTTGGAAAAGGGAAGCTCTTTGTGACCACAAAAACTATTTAATGCCCTACCAAAACAGAAAAAATTTAATCAATGATAATTGATGTAAATATATATATATATATATATATATGAATATTTAAAATGATTCATATAAATATAAATACTTACTTATTGAATAACTTCAATATATTAAGATGATCTATCGACACACCTCCAGATAAAGGATCGAGATAATAAATTAAATGCAAAGGAACAACCACAAGATTGAGAATAATCAAAATCCAATATTTCCTAAACAATTTAAACTTTGATTATATTTAATAAAATTGAGTGTCTAATACAACAATTAATTAAAAAAGTAATTAATAAAATACTTACCTCGTATTATAAGGTATTAAGAATAAAATTTTTTTTTCAACTTCAGCCTTTTTTGTGAATATTTTTTTTGGAAGATCTACTTATTCAGATGCACTTAACGTTGACCCATGACTAATATCATGAGGACTAATAAATGAAAATTTATTCTCTTTCTCCATTTCTTTCAAAAAAAATGTACAAATACCTTGATAAATAACAAAAAAATTATTAAAATCAATTACAATAAAAAATAAAATAATTAATATGAAAAGATGTTATGAAAATGGTACCTTATCGAACTGTTGCCCATTTTCGATCAAGCATTTCCACAATAGTATTTCCATCCAAATATTCCCAACTGTTATTATAATAGATTTCTCTTTCAAATTTTATTTCAAGTGTTTGGCCATTAGCAATAACCTTAGGCAAAAGAGACCGAAGAGCTTCACGACAATTACTAGCTCTTTGCATTTTTGAAACTCCATGAAATATACTTTTTTGTTTATGCATGACATTAGATTCCTTAGAAATATTACCATGCGCTTCAATGTTTTTTTTTTGTTTTTTTATTTTGACTAAGCTTGTAAAAATAAAAAAAATTAAGTCATAATTACAATTGCATGTAGAATATTTTAAGAAAGTGTGAAATATAATTACCTTGTCAAATGACTCAATGAGATATAACGGCCATGCAACAAAAGTGCCCTCAGCATCTTTGACCAATACAATATCCTCATTAAGAGATATTGCTAACTTGCATCATCATTAGTGCAAATGTCCGCAGAAACTCACAAAGTACCAGGGTGTAATGAAATAGTATGTAAAGTATTATCAATAAAATTGTAAACAATACCAACAGCAACTGCATTTTTGAATGGAATTTCTGTATATAATTTGCATTTTGATTCCTCTTAGAAACAAATAAAATATTTAGCAATTTATATTGTAAAAATGATAGTAACTTTAAAAGTTGTCTAAAAAAAGTATTACCAGAGGGAGAGTGAGATGGTTTGACACAAAAGTGTAGCTATCTCTC